GTTTTTGCTGTGCAAAATTTTGAAAATTTGCAATTTTTTTTTCAAAATCTGGATTGCAAAATTATTATGCAAAATCTATCGAACCGATTTTCATGAAATTTGGTGTGATAATTCTACATAACACGAAGTTTTTTTGAGCCAAGTATAAAGGTCCTATACCCAATTTAAATATTCCAAGAAAATTCCCTAAAAAGTATTGTTTTTTAACCCCATTTTTGCGATTTTTCGATTTTTACCATAGTAATCATGATTCGTTCGATTAGTAACTAGACATGTTTTGTAAAAAATTTAATTGCATACATTTCTTTTCCTCTTCCATTTTCGCCTAAAATCAACTCTTGAAAAGATACATAATTAAATAGGAAGAAAAATATGACATTTTCCGAATTTTTTTAACATATTGTGCCGTCAAAAGTTAAGCCCACGTTTTTTTTTATGCGCATAGAATAATTTTCACTTTTCTAGTGATATTTGAAAGCCAAAAAGCCAAAAATCTCCGTGGATATACGATTCACCCAAACCAAAACAGATACCGTCTAGTCTATAATACATTATATGAAAAATACCGTCAACGTGAAATTTTATTCTGACGAACATTTAAGTTGATTTCTCCAATCAGATTCAGAATTTTAGTAACAGTTCTTGTAACAGAAAAAATAATATTAAATGGAAGGCGCAAAAAATAATAAAAAATAAAAATAAATCAAATAAAATATTAAAAAATAAAATAAATAAAAAAATAAAATCAAATAAAAAAATTAAGATTGTATAAATAATAAAAAATTGTATTACTGTAGTGTCCTTCTTTAACAGGACCGTTGCACATAAAAACAGTTATTTATACAGTATGTCCATCCATGGAGTTGAAAAGAGTATTTTTTTTTAATTTTCATTTTATGGAGAAGAGTAATTCTTGTTAAACAATTCTAATTCTATTCAAATGTAGAAACATACAGTTTTGTGGCTAATGTATACAGGGTGACCATTATTGAGAAATCAGAATATAGTAGGTAGTTAATTTTATCCTTAGAATTCAATAATGCACTATGCCAGTTAAGATTTATCTTTTAAAAAACTTAATACGTATGTATCTAGAAGGTGTCCATGCATTGTCTGTTAGTGTCAGTGACAAAAAATATTTGTGCAAAAATTTGACATTAGAGGGAACAGTTTTGCTTGATAAAAAATAATCTGTACAGTATTTTCATATCTGTAGTGCTTATAGTGCCTCTTTTTGTATATTAAACAGAATGTTTCTTAACTTGAGGTAAAAAATCCAGGGGTCTATTCTGTGGTCAAAAATAAGGGTTTTTTGTTATATAAATGTGAGGTCTTAGCACAAACATTGTCCAGCTACAGCGTGTCAAAAATAAAAAAAAATTGTTAAATTTTAATTTCAAAACCCCTTGAAATTATTTAACCAAATTCGGTGTACATATTTAGTATGACAGTAGGTATGAAACAAAAAATTACCATTTTTAGAAACTTATCAATGGCGAAGGAGATCATTATTTGTCAAAAAAAATGTCCTTCACTATTTGTTTCTTTGTTCCAAACCGATTAAAACAAAATTTATTTGATCAAGTGGATTTTTACACAGTTACTTAAATTACTTAAACATATCTTAGGGAGGCCATGCAAAACAATAATAATAATAAATCGTCATCTTACTTAATATTGTGTATTGTCAAATTAAGGTTATTTTTTAAAAAGAAGTTTTGACAATGGCTTATGCATATTCAAATGTTGAAATGGCCAATATGGTTTACAATTATGACCTTGCAGATGGAAGTGGCTAGGCGAATTTATATGGAAAAATTTCCAAATTATCCAACTCCAAACCCAACATTTTTTTTAATTTTTGACACGCTGTAGCTGCACAAGCTGCACAATGGCTGTCCTAAGACCCCACATTTAAATAACAAAAAGCCCTTACTTTCACCACATAATACGCCCCTAGATTTTGTACCTTTAAGAAACACCCTGTATAAAATATTTCTTTAAGACAACCTGTTCAGAATTAAAATTTATTTCTGTTGTCAAAATCTGGTAGCAACTGGCGAACTTTAATTCTTCATGCTGTGTATGTAAGTAATGCCAGTTTTTGTAAAATACTGGAAAAAAATATTAGAAATTCTTTAGAAGTAAAATGTTCTAGATGACGATCGGTTTTAATTTCACTGTTTAACTACACAAAAAAATAATTTTTCCTCTTGAGAAGGAATTCTAATATTTTCAGAAGCAATTATAATAATTTTTGTCATTCACATACTAAGTCAAAACTACATACCTACCTATACATAATATGTATAACCATATATTATATGGTTTGAGCATATTAAATACTGGAAAAGGAATAGTTTCTTGTTTCTTAATTGATAAAATCAACTACATAATACTGTGCTAATTATTTTAGGTAGAAAATATCCTGAATACGCTACTTCACTAAAAAAAACATTTTTTTGCTTTTGAACGGAAGCAGGATTATTTAACAAGAATAAAACGCAAAATATTTTTTTCTCTATACAGGGTTGTCCCACCACGAACTCCATCGATGGATATCTGGAAAACCGCTTGAAGGATTTGTTTGAAATTGTGATGTTGTGATAAGGACCATGGGGCCTACCAAGCTGAAATATTTTCAAGATCATCGTACTTCCGATTATACCGGAAGTCGAGACCTACTAACTTTCTTATTTTAAATGGAACACCCTGTATATTATTCCATTTTGCGAAAGAGCATCTATTTTTAAGTTGAAAACATATAGCACATGGAGTGTGCTATACTTAGGATTGAGCGTTTCCGAGATATTTTGATTTCTAAGCAAAAATTGACAGATGCAGACTGTCAGAAAAATTTAGTTTTCCCGGAAACATAGGCTTATTTTTTTGGGCAAATTGGACATTTTGTAGAGGAAGACCTAACTTATCCAATTTGACATGAATATTTTCCAGTTTTTATACAGGGTGATCAAAAAAAATTATCCAATATGAAGTTCAGAAAATGTGGAAAACTCGAAATTTTTAAATGGAAACCCCAAATTTTCGCACGTATTCGCATTCTGTACTAAAATTAAGTGTAACTTTGTTAAAGCTTCTCTATACCTAAACCCAATGGTGGCAAAATCAAAACCAAGTTAATGAAAGTACGTTACAAAAATTTGGCGACAGAGCAAAGGGACGTCACAATATTCGATAATTTTTTTTAACCACCCTGTATAAAAACAGAAAATTTTAATGTCAAATTCGATAAATTAGGTGTTCCTCTACAAAATGTACAATTTACACAAAAAAATAAACCCATGTTTCCGGGAAAACTAAATTTTGCTGCCAGTCTGCATCTGTCAATTTTTGAATATAAATCAAAATATCTCGGAAACGGTCAATCCTAAGTATGGAGTGTGCTATATGTTTTCAACTTAAAAATAGACGCTCTGTCCAAAAATGCAATAATATACAGGGAATTTCATCTAAAATAATAAAGTTAGTATTGGCTTCCGGTATAACCGGAAGTACGATTACCTTGAAAATATTTTAGGTTCACACCATCACAATTTCAAAAAAAAAACCTTCAAGCGGTTTCCCAGATATCCATTGATGAAGTACGTGGTGGGACACCCTGTATATACTGTATACATACACAGTATACTAAGACCAAAAAATTTAATTGTTAAGGACAAATCTGGATTTCTTAGGAAGACCATTAAAATGCAGGTCTTAGACATATATCATTTTTTTCCAATCTTAATAATTTAGCTTCGCCCGTTAATAAGTACTTAGCTTTGATTTAGTGTTACGTTTTAAATATTATTTTACAATCGCAAATGCTCGATTACTTCACGTCCGCTTTACTTCACAACTAATTCATTCTATCTGATTATAGTGAACGTCAAGTAAATTAATTCGTGAAGTAATTGTGGATGTAAAGGAATATACATTTAAAGAAAACACTTTGACTCAGAAATAAGTTCGATAAACAGCATTTTAATGACAGGTCCCCGAAAAATTAATTTATACAAAAACATATCTTTAGAAATGTATTAAAACATATTTGCTAACAATTATATATAAATTGAAGATTGTATTACCTGTTTCTCATACAGCACATCATTACTCCCTTGTTTTGATTTGGGCACCAACACTTCATAACAACTAGGTTCATCTGGGTCCTTTTCTGAACACTGTAATACTATAGTCTCAAACCTCTCAGTGGTGAAGCCTATACAGTCACTATAACCATCCAGTTCTAGTAGATCGGCTTTGTACATATTGTGGACGTTTGTTCCAGATGAATTATATACACGAAATACTTGTCCAACTCTGAAGGTGTACTCTCCTTTTTTAAATCTGTCAAATAGTTTGTCCAAAAGGGATTGTCTGTCATGACCTATGAGAAGACAGTACTGATTTATAAAATCATTTTAAGTGTTTATTTAAGTGTAACTTATTCAGATGTTTTTCAAGCAAAATTTGTTTTTGAGCTCTGAGGATTAAGAGTGCTCCATAATACGTGAGAATAAATTATTACTTGTTCCCAGGGAATAAATTTACTTTTAATCTCACTGACAATAACAAATGAATATTTACTAATGCAATTTAAACGATCGTTAAGATAATTTTACAGCTGTTGCTGTAACAGCGTACCTAAAGGACCACGCACGTTTCTTATAGAAAATGGGTTGGGGGTGGTTTTAGAGCTTTGTGCCCTTTGAGACTTTTGATCGATGAGTTGTAAACTATAATTTTGCAAGGTTTCAAAAAAATGGACGAAAGATTTTCCATAAGAACGTGCGTAGTCATTTGATTTTTCTAACGTATGTCAAATCAGTCTGACCAATGGGTGCAAAAAATAGTGTATGCACCTCGAGACTAAAGTTCTGTTTAATCCTAGAAGTACTTATGACTCATAAAATCAGTACCATAAGAAATAGTTCCAAGAATTAATTATTAGTTTTTTTAGCGTTCTAAGTCTTGCGAACAAAGAATTTGTTCCACTAGATAAAATTGTCAAAGGGTCATTTTATTATAATGTTTTAAGACCACTTAAAGAAAATATGAAGTGCAATTAATCTGAAATAAATATGATTGAACAATCTTAGTGAATATTTTTCACACAGAACAACATGATCACAGTTTCCAATAATGGAAAGATTCCTAACAACGTTGTACAGAAGTCTAAGGAAACTAGTTCTAGGGTGATAACAGAAATGAACATCTCCGAACTTTTATGAAAGATCCCTCAAATATTATACCACCAAAGTATTTTTAATTCCTAAAGTTATTGAAGCTTCCTTCTACGATTATACCCTTTGATATCTATAATATACTATTAAAAATTACCCTTTGGTCCTAAAAAATAAAGACGTAGTCCACGCAACATAAAAAGTTAACTTAATATTAGATTATATAGCAGTAGACGAACTCACTTTTCTCAGCTGATTTAGTTAAGCCAAATGATGGAAATATTTCTTTAACTTCGAAGGGGTTAAATATTGCTCCAAAAGTGTCTTTTTTCGCGAACAATACACCTGTGGGGAAAAAACAATAGAATTATATGTACCTTCCGACACATTTCCTTTGTAAATTAAATAATTTTTTATGAAAGTTACTTAAGCTCTTAATCTTTAACAAAGAAAGAAGAGGTCAGTCTATGCAGTAACTTTAATTAGTTTATTTTATTTTAGATATACACCATCCAATAATTACTACCAATTACAGGAAGTGAAATACAAAACAAGAGGTATAAATAACTTTCATCAATATAAAAGCTACAAATAACAAACACAATAGAATTAAATAACATAACATTATTCGATATTATTCAGTCAATTTTTTGTACTTTATACTCGCATTTGCATAAAATGTATCAAATTTGCATACAAATGTATAATGGGGAAAAGTACAATAATACGCGGTTAAGAAAATGTGGATTTTTTTAAACATTTGGAGGAAAGTCAGCTTCATTATGTAATAATGTAACGCATGATTTGAATTATGCGCCATTTATATTCCGAAGAGCTGGCGGCATTGTGCAGACCCACATGTTGCCATTGTGGTTAGACAAAATGGAGGCCTATATAACAGATGAGCGAATGAAGATTGTGAAAATTCATTTTAAGTATGGAGAGTGTGTAACTGAGAGTGTGGGCAAATTACGTGGAATTTATGGTAGAAGAACCGCTTCAAATGAACCAACTGTGAAAAGACTAGTTGTCAAATTTGAACAAACAGGTTCGGTTGCAGACAATAAAAAAGCAGGCCGGTCTCGTACTGGTCATTCATCCAAAAATATTGCTACGGTGAGTGACAGTGTAGCGGAAATTTCCGTCACCTCAATTCGCCGTTTGTCACTGCAAATGAACATTTCAAAAATCACAATGCAGCGGATTTTAACACAAGATCTGCAACTGTATCCATCCAAGATTCAGTTAACCTAGGATCTGAAACCGGACGACCATTTAACGCGCTGGACATTCATTGATTGGAGGTTGGAGAATCAATAAGTGCACGGTGATTTTGCTAAGAAAGTCGTCTTTAGCAACGAGGTGCATTTCCATTTTAGTGGGTATGACAACAAGCAAAACTGTCGAATTTGTGGTAGGAGACAATCCTTGGCTCATTCAAGAACGGCCAATGTATACCCAAAGAGTAACAGTGTGCTGTGGATTTTACGCTGGTGGGATGATTAGTGATGCGTTCATTTTTGAAAATGAGGCTGGAAACGCAATTACTGTCAATGGAGAACGACGCTCTTAAACTTTTTATGGCCTCATTTGATTGACGTGGATTTGGATAACATTTTCAGCAGGATGGTGCAATCTGCCATACGGCATGTCAAGATATGCACTTGTTATGGCAAAAATTTAATGGACGACTCATCTCACCTAACAGTAAGGTGACTTAACAACCAAGATCATGCGATCTTACGCCATGCTATTTTTTCCTGTGGAGATTCCTAAAGTCCAAAGTTTATTCTGCTCAAATGAATACCATTTTTGAATTAAAGGCAGAAATTCGGAGAGTTATCAATAAAATTCAACCTCAGGTATGCGAATTCTCTTTCATATTTAATGTATACCCTTCAAAAACAGCCTCGGGTATGCGAACTCTCTTTCATATTTAATGTATACCCTTTAAAAACGTAAAATATTTGCCAACTTTTTAATTTATAAAACATTTTTTCCTCCCATGAAATTCTGCGTTTCTCTATAAACAAAAACAATTTGACTATAATTATTATATTACCCAAAATACCCTATTTTATTTATTTTGATAGGTGACATGGGTTTAGTGGTGTAAATAATTAACAGAAAAGTTATTTTATATTTAAATCTGTAGATTATTTCTTAATACGGTTTAGAACTTTGCATAAAGTTATCACAACTGACTCAAACAATAGAAACACCCCGTATGTTCTACACTTAAAGCCCTCGCAAGCAGTCAGACAACTGGCGTCCTACAATCAGCCAAATGGAGCTCTGCTTCCATTCACCTGTACTTCAAATAATAATCCCTTTTGGAAAGTTTAGAGGGTAGCTTTTCCTAATGCTCTTACATGTGTTCCTTCAATTCACCTGCTCCGATCGATAGTTCCTATTTACCCTAACCAAAGCTAAGGAAAACACTCGTCCTTTTATGTCTGCAGCCGTGGGTTCGGCAGCCATAGGGTACGTTATTTTGTTGATCAACAAATATGGCGTCATGTCTGTGGCAGACGTTTATTCTATACGCTCCTGAATTTAAAGAACTTTTCATTTTGAGTTTCGTTCACAATGAGTTTTAGTAATATACGAATTAAGTTTAATTAGGCCAGGAAATATAGAGTTGGACGCCACTTTTTGTTTCGGCAAGCTGAATTTATCACTATAAATGCTAAATAGTATGTACAATAACATAATAGTTTCCACAGTCATAAAAATGGGGGGAAGATTGTTTACAGGGTGGTTAATTGTATAATTTTTACGTAAATTCACGTTTTTCGCTTATAACTTTTTTCCGTTCATTTCCACGATAAAACAGTAAAGTACTTTTTTTTCGTCTTCAAAATACCTACAAAACTAGCCCTCGAGCGTCAAAAAATATTGATTACATCAAAAGTTGTTATAAACAGAAGAAGTTTATGTATGACTTGAATTAAACATTTATAAACTGCGTTATTATTACCAGAACGTTGTGGCATTACATCCTCTCATTCCTTATCACTGTCTAATAACTCACACGAAATCTGGAACCGGTAAGTTGAATATTTTACAAGTTATGGCCTTATAAACAAATTAACTAATTATTAGTATGGACGATCCCGAGCATCTTCCACAATCGCACTGATTTTTTTCATGGTAGATTTTATAATAATACATTGAAATCTATCATTTTTTGTTTTAAATTTCAAATTTGCAACCTGGATTTTTTTTTATTTTTTAGCCTTAGTTGCAAAACGAAATATACGACGCATGCGCGTGATATAGTTATATATTATTACATATTCGCAAAGCTTATGAAAAGAGCTTTACGTTAAAAGAAAATCGTCAAGATTCGTTGAAAAACAACGGAGTTACAGACTGTCAAAGTTGACGGCTTATTGTTAAACAAATTATGTTGGTAGCGTCGTACTGTCATAACCGGCAACCCGAGTACTTTCCCATATTGTTAAGTGCATAAGAAGTATTGTTAAAAGTCAGAGGGTCGCTTGATTTTTCGGCGAGCCGAGGCGCGGCGGAGGGGTGGGGAAAGCGAACGACAGCGAGTCCGAGGAAAATGACGATAATATTCATAGTCCTGCCGTTAAAAAAGGGAAATTCGCTTGCAAATAATATATTTGACAGTCTGTAACTCCGTTGTTTTTCAACGAATCTTGACGATTTTTTTTAACTTAAAGCACTTTTCATAAGCTTTCCGAATATGTAATAATATATAACTATATCACGTGCGTGCGTCGTATATTTCATTTTGCAACTAAGTCTAAAACATAAAAAAATTTCCAGGTTGCAAATTTGAAATGAAAAAAAAATTATAGATTTCAATGTATTATTATGAAATTTGCCATGAATAAAAATCAGTGCGATTGTGGAAGATGCTTGGGATCGTCCAGGCTAAGAATTAGTTAATTTGTTTATAAGGCCATAACTTGTAAACTATTCAACTTATCGATTCCAGATTTCGTGTGATAAGGAATGAGAGAATGCGTTGCCAAGTCGTTCTGGTAATAATAACGCAGTTTATAAATGTTTAATTCAAAAGTCATAAATAAACTTCTTCTGTATATAACTTCTGATCTAATCAATATTTTTGACGCTCGAAGGCTAGTTTTGTAGGTCTTTTGAAGATGAAAAAAAAGTACTTTACTGTTTTCTCGTGGAAATGAACGAAAAAACGTGAATTTACGTAAAAATTATACAATTAACCAGCCTGTAAACAATCTTCACCCCATTTTTATGACTGTGGAAACTAATATGTTATTGTACATAATATTTAGCATCTATAGTGATAAATTCAGCTTGCCAAAAAAAAAAGTCGCGAAATGGTCATTTCCCAGCTTTTTTCCAGGCCTATAATTTTGCATGGAGGAAAGGGGAGGATGTTATTATTCTGTGGATATGTCAATATAAAATTTTGAAGATTTTTAAATAGTAAATACAACTCATTAATAAACAACCAAATTTATTAATAGTATCGCTTATAACTGACAGCTCTTTTATGCAACATAAAGCAGTGAACAAAGCAGCTTGACATATTTCAAATGTTTAGAAATACCAAAAAATATATGAATATGGTGCTAATACATACATAGAATAAATCAGTCAATGATAGAAGTTCCAAAAACATTTGTTTATATTAGATTTTACTAATCTAATCTAATCCAATCTAATTTTCAGTTTGATACTCTTAGCCACCAAAAAAAGTATGTAATTGTAGCTGCTGTTATAATCCGTATTTAGAATGTGTTGTAGTTCCATAGACCAGAGTGGATCTGCCGACATATTCCACTTCTTGGATGTAAGAGGAGCAAATTAATTTTTGTTGGAATTCCTTCGGTACAACTCACATAATAAAAGTGTAGATTCCTAGATCTGGGCGAAGTCCCGAACATTTTCAAAATTGCAAAAATATTTTAAAAAATACCTATTTTATCTGAGTTTTTTACTTATATTTTCGAACCTATGCGTTTTGGAAGAATATTGAAGTTTTTTGGATAATTTTTTTAAAATATTTTAATTGCTCCGAGGGCATTCTAATTTTGGTAAAAGAAACTTTAGAGTATAATAAAACAACACACCAAATTTCATTGAAATCGGTTAGATAGTTTTCGCAAAATTATTTTTTGAAAAATAATTTTCGAATTTTCAAAATGTTGCACAGCCTCAAATAAAGCATATAGATACTTGAAAATTTTTTCACACAGAAAAGACCGCTCTACCTTTCAAATGTTTTATTTTTTATTTTTAAACAATTAAATTACATTTATCAATTTGCAATTTAGTTTTTTTCAAAAATTATAATTTTACGTACTGGGAAAGGCGCTTCTTAAAAA